GTCCAAATGGTCCCCCTTGGCTTCACATCACCCCCTTCGTCACAGAATGGGCCCTGTGGACATAGTTTTAACACCTCCTGAAAGCGCTGGATTTCACCCGCCCGCATTATATCGCACACGCGCACCCGGCATCTTCTGCCAGCGAACCCCAAAGCACCTTTGAGATGTTCTCAGGGTCTCCAAGAACGGCCGGAGGCCAAAGCACCCTGCCTCTATCGGTGCCCCTGCACCGTCAGCGCTCAATTAGGAAGCCGGGCGGTTCTTTACTGCTCTCCCCGAGGGCTCCAGGCACCTTCGCTGATGGGCAGCTATTCAACGGATTCTGTTTCTCTTTCTTTCCTGAATACCATTCACATTCTGCATAGAAAATAGTTCAGTGCCAAATCTGTCCTGCGGTACTCCTTATTACGGTACGCGCGTCTTCATTGTTTTCCGAACACAACAACTCCATTCCACAAACACAAAGAGCAATGGCTGAGGGACGCAAAGCCCAAAGCAAAACAAGCACAGAAACCCCGCAGAGGTTCCCGTTGCCTTCAATTCCAAAATTAACAGTCATGTGTAAAACCAGTTTTCAAGGCAGCATTCAACTGCCCTACTGTCCCCCTCTGCCTTTCTGCAACACTCGGCCTCATTCGCTACAAACCCAACTTCCACAGGGCGTCAGTGGTTCTCCCTAGGGACAGAACCAGATCGTGGCATCATCAAAAAATCTCATTTTGGGTTCCCTTTGCGCTGGTATCAGTCCCTCGCAGAAAGCGAGATGACAGAAGCAGCAGGCTCAGCTCCGGGGCTCCGTCAAGCACGGAGTAACGCCCCCGAGAGCTGCAATTGCAAAGCCATGTTTGAGCAGTCCTGGACTAGACCCGTCTCCCTCTGAAGGGATTTCGGAGATTTTAATTACAAAGTTCTCGCCTGTGTTTAATGAGCACATCAAAATAAAATTCTCGAAGGTCTGCTATTTGATTTTATTTGGCCAAATTTTCCCAGGAATGACATCTATGCAAACGCCGATACGCAGGCAACTGCCCAAACCCTAAAGTTTCTGTTGTAAATCTTGTATGTATGTACTTTCTTTGGGGAGGAAACTCAGAAAACCAAAATATTTATCACAGACAAAATTTTATGGCTTATACGTGTTCCCAAACCCAGACTACTGCACTGGCGTTTCCTGCACAGGAAAAATAATCGAGATAGGCATTGAACGTGGAGAAACTCCAACCCCATGTTCCAAATTCGGCAATACTGTAGGTAAGTGAACCTTCAGTGTGTTAATCAGACGTATCAGGCCAGTGTTTGTGATAGCAGCATTAGCTACTATATAGATTCATCTCTTGGTTTTGTAGGGCTTATTCACAACTGTCAGTCTACTGAAAAACACTATTATTTCACCTAAGGAAAAACGCTTCCAAAGCCACTAATTATCATCATCTCCATCATGCGTAATGCTAGAAGAACATATTGCCCTCACTAATTAGGTTTATGGAGTTTCCAGGGGGAGGCTTAGAGGAGAGACAAAACCAGCAAAGTCTGAAAGTGAAGAGAGCCACGTGGCACAGAGAATATTTCCAGAAAAGGTCATTTTTAGAGGAAACCTCCAGATGCTCGGGATACAGAAAGAGCGCTAAGCAAAACAAAATTGTCAGAGCCGCAACAGGTGACAAAATCAAGTTCACGAATGCAAGAACTGGAACACCAGAGGAACAGTCTGTGGAGAGCATCTGCAACTCTAGAACAAAAATATAAAGAAGTCATACAAATATGTAACACTTGCTGAATTTAGTCGTATTTCACATATTCAATATAAAGACCAAAAATAAGGTCAGCTATAGCTAATTTAGAAAGAAACGTGAAAAATGACGGAGTAAGGGGTTTGTCTCATTACTGCAGCACAAAGATATACGCCAAAACCTGAGTTTGTAAACAAATCCTTCGCCTGAACGGAGCAGTTACCTTAAAAAACCGCCCAAGCTCGATAAATTGATCTTGCTGAGCAACAATCAATTATTCTGCAAAATTTACAGTTATAAGTGCTGGAATAATATCAATGTTTTCATTCATCCTCCTTATACTCTTCAGAAGGAAAATATTTCACTTTGATGTAAATAGGTGAAAGACAGCCTGAACTGGGCTGCAAATGGTTTCATGCAGTAGAAAACGATAATAACGTGGGTTTCGTCACACAGACTAGAACCAACACGGTTCTTTCTCTTGAGGTCGATCTTTAATAGAAATTGATTATGGAAAAAAGTTATTCTGTTCAGCAAGGTGGATTGGTTTGGTTTTCTTTAAACGATTTATCTTTTACATCAATTTCAAGCAGCTCTTAAGAGAGCTCTCCTGCAAGAATAAGGTTTTGAAAGAAGCCAAAACAAACCCTGCCAGCGCCAGAGCTGAAAGGCCTTTCTTTTTTTTCCCCCCAAAATTTACACTGAGAAACAAACCCAACTACAATATAGGCCAACTTCTGCACAGGTGTGCATGCCGCTTTAATGAGAGTTCGAGCGCTCTTAGAGAAGAACCTATTTCATGCCGAGATTCTCTCACTGTGTTCCTGTAAAGCATTAATGTGGTGGGGCGTTCACCATCAACCGATATCCCGTTCCTACCACAACATTAACGCTGCAGGTACCTCCCCAACTGCTTCTTGCTAGCTAAACTGCGAACAAGAACGTGTTCTCCAGTTACGTCATTAGCAAGGACGGCTATTAGATTAATCAGTGGGCTCATCGCGTGCTTCTGCAGTACCGGGTTCCCCAACCCAGCTATCTCCTGCAAACTCCCTGTCCATAGGTAAAGCTCCAGCATGTAGCGGAAATTTTAAAAATTATCTTCTGTGATTTAGAATGTCTTTTTACCGCTTAACAACGTGGAGGTGGGGAACATATTTTGACTATGTGAACTCTTACCTGCTGTATTTCTCTCTCCCGCTATTAGAAAGTTTATCCAGGTCACTCCCAATCACTGAAATGCCGACACTTTTGCCCCGGATGCGTTTAACGGTTAAACCAGGGGCAGCCAGACACAAAACCAACCAAGCACCAAACTAGGCACAGCCAGATGAAAAAAAGACAAAAAACCCAAAAAAAACCCCACCTTACACCATTCCAGCAGCCCTTCCTAGGGCTTCACTGGGAGTCCTTACAGGCAGCCTCTTCAGCTCTTCAAAAAACCAAAGCACAACAAGATCCCAAACGTCTTTTACCATCTGTGATTCCCTCTCCTCCATCCCAAGAGGAAAATAAAATCCACCTAAATCAGCAGACGGTACTGGATGGTGTCATGTGCTCAGTTCGCAAAGGCGGCGGCACTGAAGTCCACAAGAAATTCCCGACTTCTGTTCTTCTCGCTGACTCGGAAAATTCCCTCTGAGATGACTTCGGGTGGTTTGTACTGTACATTCAAGGTGGGCTGCCACTCTCCTTAAGCGAGACAGGGAGTAGTAGTGACAAAAGTTTAAAAAAATTAGATCTTTTTAGATGAGATATTATGCCAAACAAGAGATGGCAGAAATAACTTAGAAAACATACTGAATACTTATTAAAAGCGAACTGTCGTCCAGGAACAATAACCTCGTGTTTATGCAACGCTGAAGTAGCAAAGGTGGTCAGTGCAAAGCCCAAGAAACCTCCACAGTAGAGGTGGAAGGACCTCTCATGTGCCCCAACAGACGCGTTCACACGTGATCTTCCCCTCAATCATTCACTGTTCAGGTTAAAATACCAAAGCAAAAGGTACAGAAGAATAAATTAACCTCAGGGTCTAAATTCCCTTAAATTCACCATCTTCTCTAAATTCACCCTCCGCTATCCGGGTGCCACGCTGCAGTGTACCGCGCAGGACAGGAGGAGAAGACCGAGCACAGAAGTCGGCCACGAGCTGCTGCACAAACGCAGCGGAAACCACGACATTTCGGGGAATCTCTCCGTGGCCTGGATTTGGTTTTGAGTATCAGAGTTAACCTTTTGCTGAAGTTCATAATGTGGTTCTTTTGTTTTAGAAAGTAAACAAACAAACAAACAAAATCTGTAGCGCACACTGTTGGAATAAGGGTTGTAATTTCATCTTTATTATGTCACTTAATTGCCGGCGGGATTTTGTAGCCAACAGCGGTTAGAATTCAGGAGGTGTATTTTAGAGCTTCAGTGTATTTTTGGAACGCAAGCTTACGTTTAAATGAGTATTTCCCTCAATTCCTATTACATTTTAGTAGCAATGGAACAAGCAAGTACACACTAGCTGCTACTAAATCAGGTTCTTTCCATTTCACCTACGCATCTGGTCAGCTGAATAAATAGCTCCATCCATGGTTTTGTCTCAGCAGACATTTACAGCGGGGGCCAAGGAGACTTCATGGTGTTACCCTCATTACAGGGCTACGTTTAGACGCTCTCAGCATGTGCTAAAGGCTTGCACTGTAACAGAGAATTGTTTTTTAATTTATTTATATTTTCCACGTGTATACGAGTACACACATATGACAGCAGTTTGGTAAAATTGGTCTAACTTATGGTAAAACTCGCAAGAAACAGCTAAACTAGAGAAATTGCCACGAACAACCTTGTTGCTCACGGCCGACCACCAGGAACACGCGCCGCGCCGCCACCCCGACCCCCGACCACGCAGACGGGAGGGAGAACTGAGCCTGGGAGCCCTCTGAAAGGGCAGTTCTCCCCAGAGATGAGGGGGAAAAGCAGTACTTCTCGCTTTCAATCACTTCACAGCACTTCTTCCGTAATCCTCAAGCCCCCCTTAAAGAGCAGGGCGGGGGGAGAATTTTGCACAGTCCCGTTCCTATTTTCTTCCGCAGCATGTCCTTTTTTGACCTCCCCGCCCTTCACTTTTGGTGCAGGAGATGCAAAGATTGATTTAAACGTTTATTTTGTACTTCGATTTCATAAATTAAGTGCTTGTATATGGGTGTCAGATGTTGGCTTAATTGAAATCTTTCTGTCATCATAATGAGTAACTAATTGCATTTTTCTTCCAATCTTTTTTAGTGTGGAATTGGATTTTAAACAGCAAGAAGACAAACTACAGCCAGTTTTGAGAAAACTTCATCCTATCGAGGAAACTCAGGTTGCACCTTTGCCTTATTCTCAGGAGAGCTACTCCTCCACTCCCAAGCAAAAATCCAAAACTGAATCAAAAAAGCATGGAAGATGGAAACTCTGGTTCCTTTAACCCAAGTCCATTACATGTGGAGTTCAAGGCCTTCTTTGAAAAAAATATTTGGAGTTCTATCAATCATCTATAACGGGATTTTGGTAGACTGACCAGTGTTACCAGGCCAATGTAGTTCTGACCATTCTGGCGGCGTTCAGTTCTCACCGTGTGTACCAAAAAGGCCTTTGTACCTATAAACTCACGTCCAGACGCAAGGCGCTAGAGAGTACCTTGCCAACTTTTATTTGCAGTTCACCAATGTGGGATGTAAAACCTGAATTGAAATTTGTACAAAGATGGAAAGTAACGCTATTTCCCCCCCTCCCCCCCTTTAGATCTGAAAGCGTCACGTTCTAACCTGTTCAATCGTAGGCTGTCATCCTGTCCGCAGCTAAATATCACTGTTGTTTTAAAGCCTTTTGGGGGTTTGGTTTATTGTCTCCAAACAGGGAGGGGAAAAAACAAAAAGCAAGCAAGCCTTACGTTTGCAATGGTCTTCAGTTTTACAAATCCATGTTGATCGGGGAGTGCGGTTTTCAGCACATATATCCTGGACAAAGCACAATTTTTCATGTGGTCCAAGACCAAGAATAATCTCTAAGATGTGACTATATGTATATTTGCCTTCATGCGATGTAGACTTCAACCAAGCTAGCACATTTCCACAGCGCACCATCATTTCTAATTTAGCTACGTCCTCGTCACCAGACAAACGAGTCTGCTGCTCATCTCCCAAGGGGTGAGCGGCGAGAAACCTCCCAAAGTCAGGACGAGCCTTTATCCACACCACGCTGACAGGGTCGAGGCTGTGGGACAATCAGCTGTCCTGGATCTCACTTTTAATTTTTTTGGTACCCAAAAGGTCTAAATGACCCATTCTGGCACAGATAAACCAAAACCACCCAACCCCACAAACAGAACAATCAAAAGCTCTACAGATTGTTGGCCTTTTTCCATAATTTAATATCTTTTTGTAATGCAGATTTTGGAAAACCTCTACACTATTGCAGAAGGCACCAGAAAATTTACAGTACGCATTATGCTTTGAAACCTGTTTGGAAGAAGTAATAGAAGTAATTTTAAATGCTATTTATTTACTAAGCTTCTCAGATGGGTTTCCCAACATATTATATCTCGGTCTATTAACGGTACGTGCTAACCAACACGCTTAGGGAAGAGATGGGAATCAAATCCCTCCCCCCCGTCTTTTTTTTTTTTTTTTTGACACTTAAAATTTTACTCTGAATTATAAATTGCAACTTTTCCCTTTAAGTAATTGCTGCTGTCATTAAACTTGCATCTAGAATGACCATTTGTGGAAAAAATTCTCATGCCAGAAGTGGCCAGAGAGTGGGAATCTTGTCGTATTCCCGCCCCCCCTCCCCCAAGGATTTGAGATCATTTGAGGCAATGTCATGTGACAAACCGGTTTACTAAGGATTGGGTTCGAAATTGCATATCCCGCAGCATCAGTAAGATACAAATTCTTCAGTCCTTAGGTGGAAGAAATGTAATCATTAGGAGAAAAGTTTGCACATACTAAAAGATTTGGAGGGTTTTCATTTACACGGGCTTTCCTCTCCGCTCAGCCTCAAATCCACTACTGCAAGAAAATTTGAGGAAAACAACTTATTCCCCCCACACCTCCCCAAAGCAAAGAGGAAGAAAAGGAAGTTAAAACGGCAACAGAAATGCAGAAGGCGTCTGTGTCCACCTCAAACTGAATTTCAGCGTGCTTTAATGAAAAAAAAGTCACCTTTGCAGTAAACCTTCAAGAGGGCTACGAGTTTTTGAGCATAAGCAACCAACATCCTGAAATACTTTCGCGAAAGCTGAACGGTTAGAAAAGGTGTTCCTGTGTACCAGGAAGGAAGTGCAATTGATTCATGTGGGGAAATAACGTGTTTCATGTATTTTATACCATTTTTAATTCAAAATAGAAAACTGTTTTCAAGAAAGCCCATCCGACACGTTTTAGAAAGCCAAACAAAAAATTATTATTTTTTTTTTTCCCTAAACAGAAGAAATATCACATACGGACATAACGAGAAAAACTCCGGTATTCAGTATTATTTTAAAATAGTGTTAATAATTAATGAACTCATCCATGCTAACATGCCTAGTGTTTGGGGGTTTTTATAAGAAATTAAATCAAGCATCTCTCAATGGCAGTCAATTCCCAATCATCAGCGTCACCGAATCAGTAGCTTTTCCCATCAACCTATTCTAAACGTTCTTGTGCGCAGGGACTCTGACACAAAACTGAACTGGTTTTATGTGCGGTTACTGACTCACCCAGAGACCAGTATTCTGTAATCATTTCAAATGATAGAGGAAAAAAAAAAAAAAATCACTGGTGAAACATATAAGAGCTAAAAGTGAAAGTTCTCACGGCGTGTTCTGTACATGTCCAGGCTATTTTCTTAAGAAGTTGCAAAATTTTTAATTTTTTACATTTTTTTAAAACTGGAAAAGCTAACATACATATAGTCTTGCTTGAAATTACATATCGTGTTCTATCGTACCATACAATGTAATTTGTAATAAAATGTTTTTGCAAGTGTGTAAACTGTATCATATTGTATTACATTTAGAATCACTCAGGCTCAGGTTAGATAGACACCGAGAGAAAAACCTAATTCTTTAGCGCTTTTAGTTAAATGTGACCGACAAAGCTATTTTCACCCTGATGTAGAAGATCTTATAAAATGCAGGTATGAGGTTCTAACGCAGAAAATGCACCTTTATTTTCAGTGTGGCACATAACATCGCTTTGCTGAGTTCACGGACAATACCATGCACTTCCATACACTGATCTGCGATATGCACTTCTCCCATATCATGCTTAAAAATACTTTTTAGCCAATAAATACTGCAGTGATTTTATATTACTTGCTATTTTCTGAGTCCATATACTTTCCATTATGCAACAGTTACATTCTTTGGTTTAGAACTATTAGGAAACACTATTCATGTGAGTATCACTTGTTTTCTTAAAAAAAAAAAGTCACTGTAAAAATACTTTAAAAAAAAAAAAATCAGGATAAACTGAACCATCATGATTAAAACTGAAAAAATCCTACCACCGGTACAAAGTGTTTGCTTTTTCTTGATTAAGACGCAACACCACCGTCTACGCCTTTAATTTCACTCTATGTTTTAAAGGTTAATCACTTTTTCAAAATTGAAGAGGTTCATTTTTCATGAACACTTTCAAATCAAGTACGCTGTTAGATTACACCGTCTCTTTAGCATCTGTATAATAGCACGCGTTATATATTACTACTGGAATTTGTTAACTGGATTGCCACTAAAAATATAACCGCTATAGCAACACAATGCTGTTCTAGGAGAATGAAATGGACTGCATGAAACAATTTCTAGTATTATTTCAGCATCCATAAAATACAACTGTGGCTTATTAAAATAATTGGGAGTGCTAGAAATTTGCTGTCAATTTGTTTAGGTGAATGCGGTTTGTTCCGATGAACACTGCTAGGGCATACTCCATCCCCAGTCGCTGCATCACTGAGATCACAACATAAACAAGCCCGGTGTTAGCGATGGAAGAAAATCATGACCATCACTCAAATACCACGTCAGTTTTTGCGACATTAGTTTGCAATGCACGATTTCGCCTGTTTTCCAAAGATAAGAAAACATGCAATTCAATAAAACAAGGTATAATTTTTTTACATCGGAGAAGTCCGGTGAAGGAAATGAAGCTTTCTACCCGACACTTTGGAATCCGTCAACCCTAAACTTGACAGATTCTAAGGCTCAGAAAAACAATTCACATCTAGCTTCAACTCCTACATAACTTCAGCCCCAGAACTCTCTCCCGTGACCCTCAATAACTCGTATTTTACTTCGACTTGCATTTTATTGCCTTCCAGAATGGCATCCTGCCTTGAAGATGCCAAGAGATAGAGAATCCACCGCTGCCTTTGATGGATCTGTGATTGCAGCGTTCACTGCCCACATCAGTGCCATACTCTCTGCTCTACTTTACACTTGACCCTCTCCAGTGCTGTCACCAGCTCCTCCTCTACCCTTTGACAGGCGTCATCTTCACCCTTCAGAGATTCTCCTTCACTATCACCGAGGGGCACCTCTAAATCTTCTTTTTATTCACGTCAGATGGCTTTCAAGTCTCGCACTGCAAATCACTTACTTTCTCTGCTTTCTGACGATTTCTGCAGGATTTCTGTTTTGGTTTCACCACATCCTTGTTTTAAAGTGTAGAGGGGGGAAAAAAGCAATGTGAGAAACACTTTACTCATCAGTAAAGTCATAAAGTCCTCTCCTGCTCACTGCTTCCTAGTCACACATCCCAGGTGAATCTAAAGTAGCATTTTTTCCCCCATCACAGCAGGTGTTCACACCAACTTTGTTCACCCTATACCACTACGTGGTTTTCAGAGCCGCTGCTCTTCAGGACGGAGTCTCTTGGCAGTCAAGACACTTCCTACCCACCTTCCTGCCCTCTCCGCTCCTATGAGCTAGATTATTTTTTTTCTGTATCAAAATAGCATTTAATTTGTTCCACCATATAAAGGATCCAAGATTGTCTATTTCATAGACAATGATCATACAGTTGCACAAATCTGCCAACTGTAAGTGTCTTCCAAAAATTGTACACATCGGGATCCAAAAACCCCATCTGGATGTCCTTTCTGAAATTAAAGAGTTCAGCAACTAGCTGGTTTGTCTTGGCTTTGTAAATGAAAAACAGACCAAGCTGCTGACCACAAGGAAGTAGGGAGCAGCCATGGTTCATTTTGGACCTACCATCCCGTCCGGTCAGTTCTGATTTACTGAAGGAGGCCAATACGTTGACTCGCATGGAATGCAACATTCTTCACAAGTTACTAGGCAAGGAAAGAGGTGGTTTAAAATTATCCTTCAAAAAAAAAAAAAACCCAAGGAAGCATCTCAGTTTACTTTTTTCAGGCAACATGTTCTTCAGTAGGAAAGATTTTGTGACCTTCTTATAGGTGCCATAAGCAGGACGAGCT